GAAAGGTGGGCAGTTGGAAAGCAGAAGGTATGTACTATTGACCGTCAACAGAAAACCATAGACTTCACGATCGTTCGAACAGTGTACCAGAACAGCCTGACAACCAAAATGAGAAGCAGATTATCGAACATCAAGCTCAGAGGTATTTTAGACACAGATGGCACACCAACCAACCAAACATTGTCTCAAAAGCCACTGTTTGTATGAAAAAGGGGTGAAAACAGTTCGTTCCAGGTTTTCTTAGGTTCCGCAGATCCCAGGTGCCACGCCTTAAAATAATTTAGCAGGACATATTATTTTGGATCTATTTTTGCTTGAATGACAGCGCTACCTAGTTGTCTAAGAAAGTTGTGGGACAACCTTTTTCTTCTCACTTTTTGTGCAGGTATTGTCCAATTTTTCCTACTTTTAGGGGAGGGGGGGGGATTCTTCTGTTGTTTTAGTGTTATTGAACTAAACTTGCAGCCATCAACAGAATTTGAAAGCACCATTCTATGAGGAACACTATTTTTTTCTATTTTGGAAAATGCTTTAAGATTGGAAAAAATAGTCCTTTTGACAATGAAATCACATGCACCAGTAGAGCAAACTTGTTTAGCTTATGAACTGTTTTGCACACTTTGACTTTTCGTAACAAGGTTCGTTCAATTATCATTTTAGCTATCATACAGAACCAAATAAGTTTAACCTTTTGCTAATTATTGATTTTTGACAATGGAAGCACTAAAAAAACCAAAGATGTGTTGCAAATGCTGTCAACACCTTGTGAAACATCAGCGTCTCAAAAAAAACAAAAACGGTTTGACCTTAAGAAATAATTACAATAGTCCCATTTCTGTTAAAACGTAACCCCCAGTCTGAAAAAATTAATCAAGCAAAATAGACATCTAACCCCTAGCCAGATTCATGACTCGAAGACTAATCTATGGCAAAAGAGTTGTCCTGGGGAATTTGTAATTCAGTTTTCTTCGCAAGGGTCTCTACATAAAGGGCAGAAAACAAAAGCTAGGAATGAGTAGCATGTGTCGCTACTTTCAGTAACAACATTAATCAAGCACCAAGGGTGTCTGCTAGTAATTTGTGGGACGTCTGACGAGAGGTTTGATTAAGTTCCCATCCCTCGGAGGTACCATTGTCAAACGATTGTTGAGTCTCTTGTGAGGTCTGCCAACAGAGGTCAAGGAGGAGGTGATACCCCCCCCCCCCCCCCCAAAGGTTAAAACAATGAAAATGTCAAGTAATATGTTTTAAACTTTTTGAGTTGTGTGTTGTTAAAGATAAGTTTGTAGACTTTGGATATTATTACTAAACTTCAAGTGCATACCCTAAAGAAAAATAATATAGTTAAAATTAGAGGAAGAGAGAGTAGAAGAGGAAGACAGAGGAAGAGAGAGGAAGAGAGAGGGGGGGGAGATTAAGAGAGAGAGGGGGAACGTAGGGGGTGGGATGGAGAAAGAGAAAGATAGAGAGTGAGAGATAATAGTTTATGGCGGAGAGTTGTGGCTATAAATGCGAAAAGAGGTTGTTTTGGACTTTTTATGTACCAAATAATCCAACCTTCTTTCAACCAACCCGTCCATTCACCCATCCTTTCATTCATACCATCAACATACAAACACATACAAACACAAAACACACACACGCGCACTCATACACATAGGCACACACAAACATACACAGAACACAAACACTCACACACACACACACACACACACACACACACACACACATATATATATATATATATATATATATATATATATATATATATATATATATACACACACACGCACACACATACACGCATAAACATACATACACACACGCGCACACACATACACACATACAAACACACACAGACCAACACATACAGAACACAAACACACAGAGAGAGAGAGAGAGAGAGAGAGAGAGAGAGAGAGAGAGAGAGAGAGAGAGAGAAAGAGAGAGAGAGACAGAGACAGAGACAGAGAGAGAGAGAGAGAGAGAGAGAGAGAGAGAGAGAGAGAGAAAGAGACAGAGACAAAGACAGAGACAGAGACAGACAGAAAGAGATCGAATATACATACAAATAATGACACTGCTTTACTGCAGTTAATATTTTTTCGCATAAGCAATATATGACAGAGTGCAGCTTATCTAATACAAACTACAGATTGTTATAACAAATGATAGCCTTCGGTAAGATAGTCTGGTAATAAATTACGAGTTCCGAGAATCAATTAAGTTGCGTTCGTCATAACATTTGCCTGGTTTGCGTTTCTCAACCAATTGCCGTCGGCGATATGGCTGGCCACATTTTTATGTGTCCTCTGCTGTTTGATACTTTTCCCATCCCAGTCTGTGGTCTAACAGTTAAGAATTTGGCTTTGAATACGAAATAAATGAGTTTGATTCGCACTTGGGAAGGTAAAATTATAATTATTATATTTAGTTGAGTCTCTCCGGAGTCTTCCTTAATTCTTCTAATTCTTCCATTAAGCAGGAGAAATATTCTTTTCTGTGGATGTAATGGTCATCGTCAGACATTGACCAACGAGCTTACTCTCTATCTATATATGTACCTATCTTTCTATCTACCTATCTATATATTTATCTATCTATCTATCTATCTATCTATCTATCTATCTATCTATCTATCTATCTATCCGCTGCTTGTAAGCATATACATCTGTTCCTCTGTACGTCAGTAATATGGCTTTGAATACGTACTTAAAGCGTGTAGAATTTATACTGTCCTGCTTTCGATGATAAAATACCCATTTATCTAGAAAAGGGTTGGAAGTTGAAAGAGAAGCGTGGTCGCCTGGTGTTAGGTCTAATATATATATATATATATATATATATATATATATATATATATATATATATATATATATATATATATATATATATATTATATAAAACAACAGTCGCTATTATTCGGTGACTTCCAAAACTTGAATGTCCATGAAACCTGTAAATGTACATTTGTGTGCCTTTTTTTCAAAGTTTTTAATTCCAGTAAAATTCACTCGGAAAAGTGTTTTTGTATGGACAAATAGGTTGCTTTTTTATAGTAGAGGTTTTACAGCGCTCGCAACTGCATACGGTCATATGAGCGAAACAAAAAGGTCGAGAACCCGAAAAAGAGAATTTGATAAAAAGTTGCCAAACGGCAGGGGAAATGCAGGTTTCTTCGATTCCATTATGTTAATGAGTGCTTGATGTTTACCACGATTCAACACCTATATATCTATTTCTTTATCGTGATATCGATATATTTAAGTATATATCTGCAAAATCTCTTCTGTCAGCCATTCTCGTTCTTGGCATTTCCTTAACGAAAATTTTTATGACCAATCTTAAACTGTCCCCTTAATACTCTGAAGAACACGGGTGCTTTTTCGGGGAGGGGAGGGGAAGGAAGGGGGAGGTGGCAGCTGAAAAGTTTCACAACACTGCGTCTTTTATTACGAAAGTTGTCCAGAAACTGGATCAAAAGCCCCATAGTCCAAAAACTTAACTGTATCAGAAGATAAAAAAACAAGAACATCCCAAAAAACAAACAACCCCCCCCCCCAAAAAAAAAGAAAAAAAAAGATGAACGGGAGCATGAAATCGCAAGACATTATCCCACGCGGCGATGACCATGATCCTTGTAGTTTGAGTCTGTATTTTATCAGAATAGTAATGAATGCCACGACATACTTGGGTTTTGTGGGAGGTAGCCGTGTCTTTCTTAAGCCGGGAAATATGTAAATGTTCGGCGTACAAACATCTTTGGATCGATTTTTTTTCTTCAAGGGTTCCTGCTCAAAGGTCAGTTAGTGAACGCAATACAAGATGGCTCTTTTGCGATTAAAACGTGTCCTCAAAACAGAACGTGAACTCTCTAGATATGAAACCTTTGCGGATAAAATAATTTGTTTTGTTTCTTGAAAAGTTGTTTTTTGAAGAAGCTGAACCACATGAGCCCTCTTTAAGTTCGGCTGTTTGGTAAATTTTAAATCTCTCCACCTTAGTCGTATCGGAGATGGACATTAATAGATTTTAAAATCTGTACAATTTTCAAAGAGGCATCAAACCAAAATACACAGTATCATGCCAGCATTGTGTCCAAAGATAGATTGGTTATGAAAGAGGAAAAGGCGAGCAAACAAAGCAAGGATAGAAATTATTAACGCCTTTTGAAGATTATATTGCAAGTTATCCTCGTGTAATAATGGGACAGTCAGGATCAAGTTGTCTTTCGATTCGAGTCAACATTTTGGACTCCAATAAAGAGCTAACCTTCGACTGTAGACTTGAATAACTGGAAGCAGCATCCACCCCTTCTACTAAGCTAATGTTTAGTGCTCAATCCTCTGTCGAACTTTGGCTTATAAAATTTAGCTCAAAATTGATTCAAAATAATACTGCTGTGCTACAGAGAAAATTTCTACTTTAAAAAATGTTAGTACTTAATTGCAGCCTATCATGACCAACCAAGTGGGAACAAGAATGAAAGAAGAAGCACATCAGACTTAGATGCTCGATTAAAAACGCCTTCGCCTGAATATCGAAATGACTAAAACGTCACAACAGAGCCAGACTAAAATTATGCCACATACGGCATTGCCTAGGCCCGTCTTTTGTCGAGGATGGCTGTGACGATTTGGGGGAGACTCCCAGACGGAAAGTCTATGGATAGATATGATTTAATAATTTAAAGAAAAATTAACTCCTGCGTTATTTCAACTACCGACTTCCCGAGAAACGGACGGTTACGGTTTCTGGTTTGGTGGGCACGCGGGCTCATCCCTTGGCGCCACCGTCCCCGGCAAAGTTCAAAATGAACTCCTAACCAAAACTGAAGCCACTACAGTCAGCCTAAATGTATTACTATTAAGAGTTGATTTGGAAAGAGTCACGTGGCTGCCAGTCAGGCAAGGGATTAATATACGTTCTGTATTGATAAACGGTACTGTGACATTACTGTGCCCGCGCTTTTCCGCCCCAAAAAATTTTTGAAATTATGCAAATTAAACCCAACAATGTGAAATTATGCGATTCTGTTAATTTTAACAAAGAATGATAAAGGAAAATAATCAGAAATTATGAAAAAAAGATCAAATTTTGCTAAATGATGTGGGGTGCATAAAACTCATGGGACAGACATAAAGATCTGAGAGTCAGTTACTGCCAGAGCTCTTGCTGGGCTGTGACAAGAAGAAGGTGCTGTATTTATGTAATTTATTCTTTAATGTGTTATTCCATTTTATCTCTTTTTTCGACAGAGGGTGGGGTGTGCATGTTTGTGTTTGGGGGAGGGGGTAGGGGGGGGGGAGATGGGGGAGGAGCTGTGTGAGTTTTGAAAGATAGTTTTCACGTGTTTGCTTTTTTTTTTACATTCGACTCGCATCCCTAGTTCATTTCAATAGAGAAGCGTTTATAACTCCATTTACAATATATAATATATGTGTCTGGAACGTGATAGCTTTGCAGCATTTAAATACCCAGACAAAAGCAAGCCAATTATTTGTGTTAATGGAAACGATCAAAATACTTCAATATTATGCATAAGACACTGATCTTGGACTGCAAAATTTCTATTTTAAATACTGTCTGGATATTCACTTTTGTTAGCATGATTCGTGGGTGCCTTTGTGGGTGCATGTGTGTGTGTGTGTGTGTGTGTGTGCGTGTGTGTGTGTGTGTGTGTGTGTGTGTGTGTGTGTGTGTGTGTGTGTGTGTGTGCGCGCGCGGGCATGTGAGTGTGCATCTGTACGTATATGTATTTTTCTTGTGTGTATGACTGTCTACAGGTGTGTGTGTGTGTGTGTGTGTGTGTGTGTGTGTGTGTGTGTGTGCATGTGTATGTGTGTGTGCCTGTGTGTGTCTGTGTACATGTGTGTGTGTGTGTGTGTGTGTGTATGTGTGTGTGTCTGTGTCAGTGTGTGTATGCTTATGTGCATGTGTATGTCTGCGTGTGTGTGTGTGTGTCAGTGTGTGTGTGTCTGTGTCAGTGTGTGTGTGTGCGTGCATGTGTGTCTGTGCGTGCGTGAACCAACCTGCTGGTGGCCATTCTGACAAAAGCTTCCTCTGCAGGTGAGGTGTAGGTCCCGGCTATCTGGAGCAGACTCAGCAACCACAGGCCACTCACAAGGCACACACTGGGCAGGTCAAGGGCACCCCTCAAGGTCACAAAGCCTGCACATTAAATAAATAAGTTTAAAAAAATTAAATATAGAAATAAGTAAATAAATAAACAAATAAATAAAATAAAATAATAAATAAATAAATGAATAAATAAATAAATAAACATTTTAAAAAATTTAAATAAATAAATAATTCAAACTAAATCAAACTAAGTTATACTAAATCAAAGACAGAAAGAAAGAGAGAGAGAAATAAAGAACGAAAAAAAAACAAAGAAAGAAAGAAAGAAAAGTGCAAATAAAATTTTTAAAATCAATAAATAAAGTAAGTAAATAAATAGATCAGTAAATTATTGTTAAATAAATAATTACGCCCAATGAAAACGATTTAGATAATTTCGAGGAGCCTGCTGTTAAAGATGGAGACGAAGATAAGGTAATATTCACTATGGTTTCGTGGTGATGTCTTTTCAGGTGCGTACTTTTTATTTTGTTTTTTGCTTGTTTATGTTGCGTTTTGTGGTGTTTTGTTGCTTGTTTAGTGGGTTTTGTTTGGGTTTTTTGTTGCTCTTTTTGTTGTTCATACTGCTCATTTTTTGTTCCCTTTTCATTTGTTTGTTGTTTTTTTGGTTTATCTGTTTCAGTTGGGGACTGTACTGGTGTTGGAATGATCGCACCTTTTTTTTTTTTTTTTTTTGCTTTTCTTCTCGTCTTTCTGTCTGTTTTGCTTTTTCTCAGCACTAGGTGAGTGTTAGTTTGTTGATGTGCTGCTCCGTAACCACACCCAACCTTAAATGCTCAGTTTAAAAGACGGAAAGGGACATATTTAACTCATTCTGTACACAGAAAGAATAGTGTAACTCCATATCAACAGGTAAAGGAGTGGCTGTATGGATTTTGTTGTTGCTGTTGTGGGTTTTTTTGTTGTAGGCAAAATCCGGATAAACTATCCGGATAACCGGATAATTCTAAATGAAACATTATCGAATTCAGACTCTTAACCCCCTTTCCTGACCCGCTTGCCGAAGTAGGGGCACCCATTTGTTGAAGTGATGCTAACCCATTTGTTGGAGGGTTCATAACATATTATTTCTCAAAGAGGTGCCTTGACTTATTATCCGGATTTTGGTAAAGCAACTTATTGCCCAGTCCTAGTTTTTTCTGTATCAAAGGCCATTTTTCCACCAAAAACCTGCCATGGCATATTTATTCATACGTCTGTTGATCCTATTGTAAGTATCCTTTGACGAGGCTTGGAGAATATATCTACGGTCCAGTCTGAGTATTTAATGTGTTTTTACAAATAGTGAGACTATTAAAAGTCAACATATGTTTGACCTACCATACCCATTTCATAACATTTCCCTTCTCTATTTCTACAAAATGTTGATTGTGGTCATTAACTTGGACTTTGAGAAGTAGAAAAGGTATTTGTGATGTTAGAAGGATTAAGTATAATCATACAAAACTAATTTTGACATCAAAGCCTCTAGTGAGAGTGTCTGGGGCGCTATAATCCAACTTAAGATATTAAACACCAGAGCAATAAAAGGAAGTACATGTGTTAATCATGATACCAAAGATCATATCTATATCTCGCTCGCTCTCTCTCTCTCTCTCTCTCTCTCTCTCTCTCTCTCTCTCTCTCTCTCTCCCCTTCACCCACCCACGACCTCTCTGTCTCTCTCTTGTTCAGTCAGCTTTTTTGTTGTTGTTTACAATGGAACATCTAACTCAGTATAGATCTACCTTCCAAATTTTAAACCGGTACATAACCAACTGCCTGTTCCTATTTTCATTTTTGTAAAATTTGAAAAGCGCTTTCAAAGGTTGCAAAGCCTTGCCTACTACTACTCGTGCATTATGTAGTAATACGCACACATAGATTAATAGAGGCCCACGGGTAGGCCTACTCTGTACTCTGTATCATGTCATCTAGATTCATTTCGCCTTCTTTTTTTACCCTTTTTGTACAGGTAGGCCTACATATGTAGTATAGTTGAGCTTTCGGGGCTTAGGATCACTTCACCCCATCCGCACGTCGTTTTTTACTCGTATCCATACGACGTGGGGAACTCTCTGCGCCACCACTTTTCAAGCAAGAAGTTTGCTCGTTAATCCGATCCATACGCTTTGCATTAGTGTAGCAGTCTGTCAAAGTGTTTTTTTTTTAGATTTTATACTGAAAGTTCGGAAAGTTTCAAAGAGATCTTCGTCTAGAAGTATTCTAAAATGTGAAGAATGCAACTCCGTGGGTACAAAATGACCCCAGGACGTACGGATAGGGTTAAGTCAGAGAGCCATCACGGCGCAGAGTACATTGTATTCCACCAGAGAAGTTCACAGTACTATTTTATTTACTGTATACCCTCTCTGATTCCACACTGGAACAGTGTAATCAAAGACAGACAAGTGAAGTTGAAACCGATGTTATACTGTACGACCGTACGCAATGAACCGAACGCAGAGTAGTCCACTTGACGGATTGCTCGTTTTTAAATTATCCACCAATCACTGTTGTCACCGCTTACAACCTAGATCTAGCAATCTAAATGAGCCAATCAAATTCTTTAGGGCTCAGCGTTGTATAGAGGAACACTGATTCAACGAGGTCGCCGGGCCTGACCTAAAATCTCGTTGTTGTTTTTTAGTTTAGCTTTAGTAGAAGTTTTACAGCGCTCGCAACTGTATATATATAT